TGGAGCCCAGTCCCAGGGAGGCAGGAGGTCCTTCCCCAACAGGGAACTCTGCACAGGGCATCCACCTCACAGACAGACACTGCCCCTGCCTGCAAGGGGTCCCAGCTTTTATCCCCAAGTGGGACACCTGACCCTTGTTTACTTAATGTGGGACACCTGGGGCTCATTTACCTAATGGCTCTCCCTGCCAGGCCGGCTGCACCCTGGAGGGAAGCTTAAAGGTAACTCACACCCCTTTTGTGAAGGGCTGTGGGAATCACCCCTATGTCAACCTTAATTTGGGGCTTGGGGTTGAAACCCCAGCATTTCAAAGAAGTAGGACAATTCCCTCTCTATCTCCCACCTTCCATGGTGTCTCTTCACAATTGATATTGGGCCTTGGAACTTGTGAATGAAGCAGAGAAGGATGAAGAAAATGAGTCAAATAAGGAGGAAGATGAAGGTCTACCAAGGCCAGGTAGCTCTAGACGAGGTATTAAAACCAATTGTAAAAAGAACCCCAGAAGGGTCATTGTAGTGGATGACTCCATACTGGGGGTTCTCAAAGGCCCCATATGCAGACCGGACATGGTTCATAAGGAAGTCTGCTGCCTCCCTGGGGCCTGGGCCAAGGACCTCACGGCAGAACTCCCCACTCTAGTGAGACCTAAGCACTACTACCCTCTTCTGGCTTTTCAGGTGGATAGTGACAACAATACCAGAAGTTCTAAATCAATGAAGAGAGATTTCAGGGCCTTGGGGAAACTGGTTAAGGGGTCAGGGGCACAAATAGTGTTCTTCTACATCCTTTCAGTTGCAGGGATGGATCAGGAAGATTACAGGAGAACTCAGCAGATGAACCTGTGGCTCCGAGACTGGTGTTACTGGCATGATTTTGGATTTTTCAGTCATGGGTTGGTATACAGGATGCCAGACCTTTTGGCATTAGATAGGATGCACCTGTCCCAGAGGGGGAAAGGATGTTGGGGCAGGAGTTATCTGGGCTCATTGACAGAGCTTTAAACTAGATTTGAAGGGGGAAGGGGATAAAACTGGAACTCCCAGATATAAGCCCCAGGGTAGACTGCCAGAGTTTGTCAGCTGTTGTGCCAGCAACAACCCTCACCCTGCCATCTCAGTGGAGGCAAGGGATGGGGACATGCAGCACAACAAAGATGCAAGGGATATTGATGGATCAGTAACTGTGGTAACACCTGTGAAAGGTTGGGATGGAATTAGGACCTCTAAATGCAAAAAGATGGTGGGGGACATCAGCCCATCTGAATTGCATCTATACTAATGCACACAGCATGGGTAACAAACAGGAGGAGCTTGAAGCCATGATGGAACAGGAAAATTGATGTAGTGGCTATCACAGAGACATGGTGGGATGTCTGCCATGAGTGGAGTGTGCCAGTTGATGGCTTTAGAAGGGATAGACAAGAAAAGAGAGGTGGTGAGGTGGTGCTGTATGTTAGGGACTGTTACGATTGCTTTCAGCACAAGTGTAGTGAAGAGAGAGTGGAGAGTCTTTGCATTAGAATCAGGGGGAAGGCCAACAGGGCAGATGTCATAGTGGGAGTCTGTTATAGACCACCCAAACAGGACAGAGAGATGGATGGAATATTCTATAGGCACTTAGTTGAAATCTCACAATCACTTGCCCTTATTCTTGTGGGAGACTTTAACTTCCCAGACATCTGCTGGAAATACAACACAGCAGAGCGGGACTGGTCCCAAAGATTCCTGGAATGTGTGGGAGATAAATTCCTGACACAGCTGGTGAGTGAACTGAACAGAGAAGGTGCCCTCCTGGACCTCCTCTTTGAGCACAGAGGACTGGTAGATGATATGGCAGTTGGAGGCCAACAAGGGCACAGGGATCATGAAATCATAGAGTTCTCTATTCTTAGGGAGGCCAGGAGAGGGGACAGCAGAACTGACATCCTGGACTTCCAAAGGGCTGACTTTGTCTTGTTTAGGCACCTGCGTTACAGAATCCCTTGGGAGACTCTCCTGAAGGGTATAGGGGTCCAGGAAGGCTGGGCACTCTCTAAGAAGGAAGTGTTAATGGCACAGGAGCAGGCAGTCCCCAGGTGCTCTAAGAGAAGCTGGCCCCAGAGAAGACCACCCTGGCTGAACAGGGAGCTTTGTCTGCAACGCAGGGAGAAAAGGAGAGTTTACAGCCTTTGGAAGAAGGGGCTAGCCACTTACAATGATTACAAAGATGCTGTGAGGCTATGCAGGGCAGAAATCAGGAGGTCTAAAGACCAGCTAGAAGTTAATCTGGCTTCAGCAATCAAAGATAACAAGAAATCTTTCTATAAGTATTTCAACAGCAAAGCAAAGACCAGGGAGAGCCTCCATCCTCTGCTAGACACAGGAGGAAACATGGCAACGAGTGATGAGAAAAAGGCTGAGGTGATTAATGCCTTCCTCGCCTCAGTCTTTAATAACAAGACCAGTTGTACTGAGGGAATCCAGTCTCCTCAGCCAGGAGACAGAGACTGGGAGAACGACCCCCCACAATCCAGGAGGAGACAGTCAGTGACCTGCTGCATCACACAGACACACACAAGTCTATGGGACGGGATGGGATACACCCGAGGGTGCTGAAGGAGCTGGCTGGGGTGCTCACCAAGCTGCTTTCCATCATTTACCAGCAGTCCTGGCTGACTGGGGAGGTCCTGACAGATTGGAAATTGGCCAGTGTGAGGCCCATGTATAAGAAGGGTTAGAAAGATGATCCAGGAAATTACAGGCCTGTCAGCTTGCCTTCAGTGCTGATGGAGCAGCTCATCCTGAGTACCATCACACAACACATGAGAGACAACCAGATCATCAGACCCAGTCAGCATGGGTTTATGAAAGGCAGGTGTTGGGATTCTAGAGGGCTTTCTACGAGAGAATGGACATGTGAGCAATCCTGCATGAGAACAAGACTGATAAGAGCCTCAGCCGAGCAAGAATGCAATAAGGATGTGACTCTGAATGAGGGGGGAGAAACTCAACCAGACAAACAATCCCCAGAAGGGGTTGGGACGGAAGAGGAAGTTACAAAGGCAGGAAGCCTGGCAAGGCTGATGTGGCACTTTTTATCCAATCGTAAGAAGGTTTAAAGTGCGGGCTAAGTTAACTGTCCAATCTTGAGGACTTGTACTGCATGTTACTCACATGTGCGGGAGAACATTATAAAAGGGCTTTGTTAGTTGTAGTAAATGGGCATTGCTTGATCACACTGGTCGAGTGTGTGCTCAGCTCTCCTGCAGGCAGGTCCTGCCTGACAAACCTGATCTCCTTCTACGACAGGGTGACCTGTTTATTGGATGAAGGAAAGGCTGTGGATGTTGTCTACTTTTTTGACCCCGTTTCCCACAGCATTCTCCTGGTGAAACTGGCTGCTCACAGCTTGGATGGGCACACGCTTTGCTGGGTAAAAAAACTGGCTGGATGTCCGGGCCCAAAGAGTTGTGGTGAATGGAGTTAAATCTGGTTGGCGGCCAGTCATGAGTGGTGTCCCCCAGGGCTCAGTTTTGGGGCCACTCCTGTTTAACATCTTTATTGATGATCTAGATGAGGGGATCGAGTGCACCCTCAGTCAGTTTGCAGATGACACCAAGTTGGGTGGGAGTGTTGATCTGCTCGAGGGTAGGGAGGCTCTGCAGAGAGACCTGGACAGGCTGGAGCCATGGGCTGAGCCCAACTGCAGGAGTTTCAATAAGGCCAAATGCTGGGGGCTGCACATGGGCCACAACAACCCTCAGCAGCGCTACAGGCTTGGGGAGGAGTGGCTGGAGAGCTGCCAGTCAGAGAGGGACCTGGGAGTGTTGATTGACAGCCAGCTGAACAGGAGCCAGCAGTGTGCCCAGGTGGCCAAGAAGGCCAATGGCATCCTGGCTTGTGTCAGCAATAGCGTGGCCAGCAGGGACAGGGAAGGGATCTTACCCCTGTACTCAGCACTGGTGAGGCCGCAACTCGATTATTGGGTTCAGTTTTGGGCCCCTCACTGCAAAAAGGACATGGAATGACTCGAGCGTGTCCAGAGAAGGGCAACGAAGCTGGTGCGGGGTTTGGAGCACAGGTCGTATGAGGAGCGGCTGAGGGAACTGGGGGTGTTTAGGCTGGAGGAGGCTGAGGGGAGACCTCATCACCCTCTA